CCATCATTCCTGCTACTGCCTTTACACCTCCTGCCAACTCCCCTACTTTCTCCCAGTTTCAGTTGTGAAGCAAGCAGAAGCCATGATGGTTTAATAACAGCAACATTAGGAACCAACATACATTAGAGCTGCTAAGAAGGAAGTCAGGTATCTTCCTTGAATTTTGTAACAGTTTATCATGATATACTCTGTTTCCTTCATTGAACCTTTGAAGTGCTCCTGGAAATCAGTTCTTACTGTCTTTCATATTAACATACAATGGTAGTCATCTCTTAGTTCCAAGTTAGGAAAGCCATTCCTTCATCATTTAAGAAAATGGAGCGGCATGTTATCTTTTACTTAGTTCTAGAAAATTGAGATCCAGAAAATTGAGATCCTCTCATATTATAGCAAGGTTTTAGAAGACCCTCCAAAAAGTAAGGTATGTAATTCAGTGCAGAGTATTAAATAAAGCTATACTCTGCTACTGTACTTAATTTCTTGACACCTTTTTTTTTCTTTTTGAGACGGAGTTTTAGTCTGTCGCCCTGGCTGGAGTGCAGTGGTGCGATCTCGGCTCACTGCAACCTCCACCTCCCGGGTGCAAGCAATTCTCTGCCTCAGCCTCCTGAGTTAGCTGAGATTACAGGTGCCTGCCACCACGCTGGGCTAATTTTGTTGTATTTTTAGTAGGGATGGGGTTTCACAATCTTGGCCAGGCTGGTCTTGACCTCGTGATCCACCTGCCTCGGCCTCCCAGAGTGCTGGGATTACAGGGATGAGCCACCACGCCCAGCTTCTTGATACTTTTTATGTTACTTTAATATGCTACATGACTGTGCCTCCTTCTTTGCTCTAATTTGTAATGTACTGCAATGTTAAGGCCAGATTATGTAGCATATCAGCCATTAAAAAATGGACGAGGAGCTTAAGAAGCTACTGCCAAGAAGCTACAGGTTGAAGAGACCACTAATAATTGCAAGGACATAAATTGGTTTTTAAAAATATTTAAATTAATGGACAAAAAAATAAATATCCTAAAAGGGCACAATGATGACTTTTCTACTGAATCCATCTTCTTTATGAGGTATCTTTTTTTTTTTGAGACGGAGTTTCACTCTTGTTACCCAGGCTGGAGTGCAATGGCGCGATCTCGGCTCACTGCAACCTCCGCCTCCTGGGTTTAGGCAATTCTCCTGCCTCAGCCTCCTGAGTAGCTGGGACTACAGGCATGCGCCACCATGCCCAGCTAATTTTTTGTAGTTTTAGTAGAGACGGGGTTTCACCATGTTGACCAGGATAGTCTTGATCTGTTGACCTTGTGATCCACCCGCCTCGGCCTCCCAAAGTGCTGGGATTACAGGCTTGAGCCACCGCGCCCAGCCATGAGGTATCTTTTATGGTTATATCTTTATTTTTTTGAGACGGAGTCTCGCTCTGTTTCCCAGGCTGGAGGGTAGTAGTGGCGTGATCTTAGCTCATTGCAACCTCCGCCTCTGGAGTTCAAGTAATTCTCTTGCCTTCGCTTCCCGAATAGATGGGATTACAGGTGCCCACTACCACACCCAGCCAATTTTTGCATTTTTAGTAGAAACAGTTTTACCCTGTTGGCCAGCCTAGTCTTGGACTCTTGACCTCAAGGGATCCACCCGCCTTGGCCTCCCCAAAGGGGTGGGATTACAGGTGTGAGCCACGACACCTAGCTAAGTTACATCTTTAAAGCAATGTGCAAAAGTACTGAACTTGAGTCGTTTAGGTATATTCAATATTTGTTGGGAGAGCAAATGTTTCATTTTATCTCAGTCTCTGTGTATTTTGTCTTCTCTTATGTTAAATACTATGTAAATGTGTCTGCATAATTTTATAAATACTTTCATTAGGGATGGACATTCTAATTTATACTACAGGTCTGTGAACTTACTACAGTGTTTGAAGGTTACCAAAATGTTACGTTTCCCTTTTCTGTTCTAGAATTTACATAGTACATGATGAAGTTAAGGATAAAGCTTTTGAACTAGAACTCAGCTGGGTTGGTGAATGTAAGTTATTTTTGTACATTTATTTGCTCTAGGAATTATCTTTATCATAGCAAATTTACAACAGAGTGTCTTTTCTAATATAATGAAAGCTAAAACAAATTTACTAGGTCATCAAAGGAAGGGAAAGTTCTGCTTAATAACTGACTTAAGTTGTGAACGGATTATTTTTTGAAACATCCATTTCATGGTTTTAAAAGATACTATGCTGTAAATTAATGCTCAGGATTTATAAATCATAGCATAATTTACATTCATTTCTGTAAGAATATATGGGCACATACAATCTCATGTGGAAGCAGCACACAAAAATGAGTATAACTCATAGTACAACTCTGCAACAGTAGTTGAGTCAGCTGTTTACTGGGTAGATCCTCTAGTATACTGCAAGTCACAATACAGTCCTCAATTTAAAATTGATTCAAGTTTGTGGCTTAATTTACAGTAACTAATGGAAGACATGAAATTGTTCCAAAAGATATAAGGGAAGAAGCAGAGAAATATGCTAAGGTAAGCCACAGCACAAAAACTTGTCTTGATCAGGTACTCTAGGGGGAATCACTTAGTCCAGGAGCAAGACCAGCCTGAGGAGCATAGCGGGACCCCATCTCTAATTAAAAAACTAAAAATAAAAAATTCTTGGGCCAGGCGCGGTGGCTCAAGCCTGTAATCCCAGCACTTTGGGAGGCCGAGGCGGGTGGATCACGAGGTCAAGAGATCGAGACCATCCTGGTCAACATGGTGAAACAAACCCCGTCTCTACTAAAAATACAAAACATTAGTTGGGCATGGTGGCGCGTGCCTGTAATCCCGGCTACTCAGGAGGCTGAGGCAGGAGAATTGCCTGAACCCAGGAGGCGGAGGTTGCGGTGAGCCAAGATCGCGCCATTGCACTCCAGCCTGGGTAACAAGAGCAAAACTCCATCTCAAAAAAAAAAAAAAAAAATGGGGTTAAGATTGCAGAGTTTTTCAGGACTTTTTTTTTTTCTTTGTTTTTGAGAGGGAGTCTTGCTCTGTCGCCAGGCTGGAGTGCAGTGCGTGATCTCGGCTCACTGCATCCTCTTGCCTCTGGGTTCAAGCAATTCCCCTGCCTTAGACTCCTAAGTAGCTGGGATTAGAGGCACCTGCCAACACACCTGTCTAATTTTTTGTATTTTAGTAAAGACCGGGTTTCACTAGGACTTTTAGTATTTTAAGTATATATATGTATGTATGTATGTGTGTGTGTGTGTGTGTGTGTGTGTGTGTGTGTGTGTGTGTGTATATCTTTCTTTTTGTTCTGTCACTCAGGCTAGAGTGCAATGGTGCCATCTTGGCTCACTGCAGCCTCTGCCTCCTGGGTTCAAGTGATTTTCCTGCCTCAGCCTCCTGAGTAGCTGGGATTATAGGAGCAAGCCATCACACCTGGCTAACTTTTGTACTTTGGTTTCACAAAATAGACTGGGTTTCACCAAGCTGGTCTCAAACTCCTGACCTCAGGTGATCCATCTCCTTCGGCCTCCTAAAGTACTGGGACTGCGCGCGGCCTCTTATGTATATAGTCTATCAAAGATACAGTCGTTGCATGTTACAGCAACATTTGCTTAATTATCTTTGCTTGGTTATCTTATTCTAAAAGTGTTCATTCAGTTACAAGTAAAGGAATTCAACCACTTAATTCAGGTTGTTGTAGCTTGCTCACAGGTGTGGGATGTAACAATATTAAAATCAATTTTAAACACCTATTTTCTCTTAACAGGAATCTCTGAAGGAAGAAGATGAATCAGATGATGATAATATGTAACACTGACTCCAGCATCTATTGTATTTTAAATTTCTACTCCACTGTAACTATTTAGCCCTGTGGATTATAAATACTGTCCAATTTTCATTAAATTTTTGTCTTATAACGATTGAGGTTTGATTAATATCTGCTTTACAAAATTGGTGGGGGTAACTGAGGACATTTACTTAATATTAAAATATAGATTTATGACTACTAAAAAATTCCTTGGTTAAAATACTGTAGAATTAATTCAAAGACTACAGATTAATTAATTCAAAGTCCCATTCTCAACTAGAATTTACAGATCATATTCTTCTGGGCTTTTGTACCAAAAGCACCGACCAACTCAGTGGACAAATAATTGATACGGCTTCCCACTTTCACATTTATTGAAATAAATGGCGGTCATCAATCACTGTTAATCTTTAGGTGTAATACAGATGACAGATGTTTCAGTTTTGAATAGTTTTTCAAAAACTGATTCTTCTCAGCATGGTACAGCTCAAAAAAGATCGTTTAATACATGAATCAAGAATGTTTTTGCTTTTTTCCTTTATTATGGTGAGGAGTGGAATTAAGGATCAATAAAGTCCCTATTCTGTAACTACAAATTTTTCTTCATCTCTAAAGATTCAAATAAAAATACCAACATCAGACAGCTTTCATGTTAAAAATAAGAATTTATGTGAAAGTGCTCTGCAAATAGAATTGTTACTAAGTGGAATAAACAGTACTGTAGCCTAAAAGAATAACTTTGTTAATTAAGCTGAAAAGCAGTACTCAGCTGAAAAGCAGGAACAATCTGAACTCAGGCCATGTATACACACCCTCTAGTGGACTCATGCCAGTGTCACTCATTCAATGCTATGCTTCCCTAAGAAGGTAATCTAGCCACTGAATTTAGGTGCAGGGTATTTGGACTTTGAGCATTTGTGTAGTTTAAATAGCAAATCATTACACCTGCATATTAATAGCTAACTACTACACAAATAACTCAAAACCAGTAATGTCATTACCATGGCTTCTTTTATGTAACATCTGCTATATTTTACAACTCAAAATATATTTTAAAATATTAATGCATATGGCTCAAGCAATCCTCCCACCTTAGCCTCCTGACTAGCCGGGACCACAGGCACGTACCACGCTTGGCTAATTTTTGACAATTTTTTGTATAGACAGCATCTTATTATATTGCCCAGGGTGGTCTTGAACTCCTGGAGTTGAGCAATCTGCCCACCTCAGCCTCCCAAAATGCTGAGATTACAGGCATGAGCCACCATACCTGGCCACAATTCATATATTTAATTGTGAATGATACAAGTGTTGGTCTTGGAAAAATACAGGGAACAATACTAAATTGAATCCATTTACAGAAAGATAAACTGACTCTCCCTAAGCCAATCTATGGTCATTCCTATACTTTCCCAAAGTTCCAAAGTATGAATGGCACATAAATCTTCAATAATTCTTTGAATGTATCTATTCTTACATTCATATCAGCATAGTTAAAACCCTCTTCAAAAGACACTGGTTCGGCTGGGCGCAGTGGCTCACGCCTGTAAGGCTGAGGTGGGTGGATCACCTGAGGTCAGGAGTTCAAGACCAGCCTGGCCATCATGGTGAAACCTCATA